CTCAGAGTCTCCGACTCCCTCCCGATTGTAAACAATCGCGCCCTCCGCGCCGCCAGCCCCGCTCCGCGCGCACTCGGTACCTGAGAATTTCACTTCAGCACTGCGGCTCCTCTGAGTCTGGATATAATATTCTCTTTACTCCTAGTTGTAGAATTTCCACTCAGCCAGCCCTCCTGTGGCTCTGGATGTTGTCCTTTCCCTGGTTCAAGCTTAATTTGAATTGGTTGTTCAAGGCAGCAATCTCTGGTGTTAACCTATGCCGCCATCCACTATCTATATTTCTGACTGTCATTTTATCTCCTGGAATCTGTCCCCAGGGAGGAAAAAAGACTGATCTATAAAGATGTTCATCACAGCATTATTTACAACAGGGGAAAAAAATGGAAAGCAACCAAGTATCTACAAATAACCACCCCTAGAAATCTTGTTTTTGCCAAATATTTGATAACGTAGGAAAGTGCTTGGGATGTGGAATAAGGTGAAAATACTAGAATGCTGAACTGTTTGCATAATACTGGGAGGTGAACTCAGAATTGAGTACAAGCTGAGCAGAGAGACCAGGATTTGAGGGATAGCTCTGCCACTTCTTAGCTGTGTGACTCTGGTCCAGGTGAGCAAACTTTTCTTAGCCTCTGATTCCTCATCTACAAAATGGGGATAATAACACCAGCTTCCACGTAGAGTTGTCCTGGGCATAATGTATGCAAAACAGCACCATGCCTGCTGGTAGATATTATTATTATCATTACTTCACAGTTGGACTTTAGGGGACAGGGATCCCCAGGGGCATTGGTGGTAGGATGGGCTGGGAGATATTGCTGTTCTTAAAAGAATGCAGAGCGGGAGAAACAGAGCAGAGGACAAGAAAAGAAGTTGGTTGGCAAAGGGAAGAGATGCACCGTCAGGAATAAAGATAACATCCTACCGCTTTCCCAGAATTGCTCCACCAGGTACAGCCTCCCTTTTCCAGGCTTCTGTTCCACAGTTTCCTTCCCTCTGGCTGGGTCTGTGATGCTTTCTTTGAGAAGCTGCCAAGACAATCCACCCATAGAAAAGGGGGGGAGTCCAAACCACGGGATTCTTTGCCTAAGAATCTGATGTCCTCAGCCAGCGCTCTCTGTCATAGAAAGGAAAACTTTCCAGGTATTTGCTTTGGAGGTGGAAATTTATGGCTAGGAGAGAAATGCGACTGAGTCAGGCCACCGAGTCTTGCTAAAGGGGTGTGCCCGCCCCGCCCTGCTGGCCCAAGCAGGGGAACCCAGGCCTCCCTAGACTTTCTGTTGGCCCTGACAGTGCTTGTTGAAGCAACCTGCACCTTTGCACGCAGTGGCTTCTGTGAGCACCAGGGAGAGGAGCTCAGGAGGATGGGGAGGAAGTTGGCAGCATCACCAACCCAGTGCCCCAGACAGCTCCTGCTCGGTCCCGAAGGCGCTAACTGAATGATTTCCCTGGGCCCAGGCCCTAACTCCAGGAAGCCACAGAGCTCCTGCATCCACAACCCCAGAAGATTTTCTGCCCTTTTTGCAGTGATGAGGTGCCTGGGGATCCCCACCCGCGTGATCACCAACTTTGACTCTGGCCACGACACAGACGGGAACCTGATCATAGATGAGTACTACGACAACACGGGCAGGATCTTGGAGAATAAGAAGGACACTGTCTGGTGAGAGACAACTTCTCGTTCTCTTTGTAGGGCGAACCCCACCAGAAGAAGTGAGTCCATGAGCCTGATGCCCTCTCAGGCCCCCCCACCCCCACTTTTCCCAGCCCTGCGGCTCAGTATCCCCAACCCAAAGGCTGGGACACAGCTCAACACAGAAACAATGGTTTTGAGCTTAGAATCTAAACATCACAAGAGCTCCCTGTCCTGGCTGAGGTTTTCCTCTTTGCCGCCCCCTTCATTCGATACTCAGCCTGTGGCTGCAGGAGGACTGGAAGTCTCATCTCCAGACACAAAGACCATGATGGCCTCTGAGTCAGCAGCACCCACAGGAAATGGCACAAGGACTTTCTGGGAGAGAGAGGAGGGAGAGAGAGAGAGAGAGAGAGAGAGACATGTTGATTAGTTGCCTTCTGTACACACCCCAAACAGGGTCGGGAATTGAACCTGCAACCCAGGTATGTGCCCTTGACTGGGAAACGAACCCATGACCCTTCTGTGTGCAGGCTGCCCCTCTAACCACTGAATTACACCAGCCAGGGTTGGATTTTTAACCCAATTACTAAAATAAGAGTTATGCCCAGCCAGCAAGAGAGAGAGAGAGAGAGAGAGAGAGTTGGCGCTGGAAGCCTTCATTCTCTAGTCACCAACAGAGGAAAGCTCCTTTCAGGGCAGGTTGGGCTCACAGGAGGAAGAGCCATCACTGCTCACCCACAGAGGTTTGAAGGCCTGGGGGTGCTAAGTCTGTCTTTCTACTGGTCAGTGCACCTGCTCATCGTCCCTTGCCTTCCTCCAGAAGGAACACAAGCACTACAAACTTGCCCTTAGCTTAACTGACACTGGCTCCTGTGGCTTCTCTCTCAGGGACTACCATGTCTGGAATGAGTGCTGGATGGCCCGAAAGGACCTCCCTCCCGGATACGGAGGCTGGCAGGTGCTGGACTCCACGCCTCAGGAGAGGAGCAATGGTGAGGCTCTCCATGGGAAAGGCAGAACCCACTCCCACGGAAACAGCCCTCGGCCCCGCCTGTCCCTGCAACGGTCCTCATGGCTCTTCCGTTCTCCCCCAGGCATGTTCTGCTGTGGCCCTGCCTCTGTCAGAGCCATCAAAGAGGGAGAGGTGGATCTGAACTACGACACGGCCTTTGTCTTTTCCATGGTGAATGCCGACTGTGTGTCCTGGCTCGTCCACGGAGGAAAGGAGCAGAGGCTTCACCGGGACACGCATTCTGTGGGCAATTTTATCAGCACCAAGAGCATCCGGAGTAATGAGCGGGATGACATCACGGAGAACTACAAGTATGAAGAAGGTATGACTATCCCAGCCCCCTCAGAGTCCAGGTCCTGTGGGCACCTTCCCCCTACCCCAGGGAACCCCCTCAGCCAGCTGGAACAGGCCTCTGGGGAACAGAGGGTGTCTGTGGGGCAGGACCCAGGTCCATCTGAGCCCTTCAGTTTTGAGTTCCCAGTTCAGGCATCCCCACTGCCTCACTGCC